CTTTTCAATTAGTTCCTCATCAATGGCTCTACACTAATATATGTAGCATTTTCAAACGTAAAATTACATACCAATCTAGTGGTAAGAGTTGTTCAATGAAAGGTTATCAATCTCAAAGTATCAAGAAGGTGATAATTGAGCAGGTAATTAAGACAGTTAACTAAAGTAAAGATTAATTATCGTAGAAAGATTTTGTGAACAGGTACTTACATAATTGATATTTTATATAATGACAACTAAAGAGCAAAAATGGACTGTTACGTAAAATGGTAAATTGTTGACGGTAATTAGAGACAGTAGGGGGAGAGAAAGATGGTTAAGTCTGTAATAATAATAATAATAATAATAATGGAGCTATTAAAATATTAGTTATAGTGAATTGTGGGGTGGGTGAAATGAAGAGTCTTGTTGTAATAAATGAGCTATACAGATGGCCAAGGCAAAGAAAGAGACTGTACGAATCTCTTCTGAACACACAGACTTGGCTTGTGTAGATGGATTCGTATGGCTTCTGCTGTATGTGAAAGACAAACTCGTAGAGCATGGGTAAGGTGAGAAGGAATGTGATAAATAACTTTAAAGGCATTATGAATGTTAATTCGGTGGCCGGTGCCAATCAGATGAGAGAGTATTGAGCTTCGTGTCAAGCTGGAATATTTCCACTACACTACACACTTCACTCTGTTCACACAACTTTGTCTACTTTGATGTCACTCCTTTTCTCTCCAATTCTTCTTTGTGCACTAGTGTGCAGTGCACCAACTTGACCCAACACACGTGTGTGTGAGATTCTACGTTGATTTAGTCAGTCAGTCGTATGGATAGTAGAGTTTTCCGAATACCTTGAATAATTCCTATCACTTCCATTTTAGTTTATTTGTTGGAAATGTCACACAGTGAAACCGTATCGGACATATAATATTGTCAATATTCATATCAGGTAACTAACTTCACCATTTCGAGACAGAGTTTATATATCCCTAATTTTCTCTCTGTGATGACAGGAGGCACCTCAGAAGCATTCGGAAGAATTCTCAATGAAGCTGACTGGCTGGGATTAAAGAGGCTGGTATTTAACCCAACAAACTCACTTAGAAACAAGCTTTGTAGGTTAAAATATTCTATCGATACAATTAAGCAAATTAATCTGGTATAACAAATCCCTTGCAATGTTTGCGAGGTCAATAACATAGATGAAAGTAGTCATCTAGTGTCGATTAGAATGACGAAGCACAAAAGCTTATCCAAATGAAGATTAGTAGATCCTAATAGGATAAGAAATTTAGAGAAAAGCTTAGCTATAGCTGTGTACGCAATTACACAGTAGGGTGGGATGCAGTGACAGCATAACTTAGTTGGTTGGAGGGATCGAGAGACTGATAACCGACTGAATCTTTGTTTATCGAATCAACACCAAATACATTCAGTGACAGGAATGATTCTGTGCCTGTCGGAGGTAGATGGAAGATTCTACTAGCCTTGTCATCACAGAGAAGGAGAGAAAATTGGGAATAATATAAACTCTGTCTTCAAGTTGTGGAGTTAGTTACTTGATATGAATATAAATAAATGATACTGTTCCTCCTTCACCTGTGTGTGACATTTTTAAGAAACAAACTAAAATGGGATTTCAGTAATGCGAAAATTCCCATTTAGACATTTAGTAAAACAAACAATGTGAGCGAAGAAATCGATCACAATGCCCATGTTTTTAACTTCTACATTCCCATCACATATATTTCATGTTTATCGAATAATCAACACTATAGTTTGTTTGGCAAAGATATTCCTTCTACATTCTATCCAATATGATCAGTATTTTGAAAAGTGTGGATGGCTCATTAGTGTAAAAGTTCATCATATCCATTTGACTACAAATTCTTACTTGATATAAAAACTCGATGATATTTTTAATCATCATGGAGTATATGACACTGAGTGATGTTGTGTACCAACTATCATATGGTAAGTGAGCTATGCTTCTCCGGTATATTCTTGTGGGTTTCTTCTACACATGACTTTCCATCAATGATATGGAATGTATACTTAGCTCAGTTTACAGACTCTCTAATATATGTAAGGCATTTGTTTTAATTTCATATAAAATCTATATAATTATGATTGATTACTGTTTGTTTTGAGATAAAGGAATAGTTCCTATAATAGTAGTAAATTAAGCATATTCAACATTTCATAATGTAGAATATTTCAGTATGTTTTCTCGTTAAGTTTTGTTTAAATATTCACACAACGTCGAAATGTGAGGGTTTTTTGAATTGACATATCTCTCAGAAATCAACTAAACTATGCCAGATGCTAATTAAAGAAGTTGAATCAGTTGATATGATTATGAATGTTTAGGGGAGATAAGATAATTTGTTGAATATATCATCTGTTCAATATTAAATACACTGGTGATTTATGTTGTATATAATAGTGGAAAAACGGAATAAGACTGATGTTTTTCATATTACATCAGATCACTAGTTTAGGTTTGTATTGATCAAGGAATGACATCACTTAGAGAACCATTAGAAGCCTAGGAGCACTGGATACCTGTGAGGACTCATGACTGCACACCGCCACGTATCGAATCCAACACCTTTCAGCTCGGTGGCAAGTAGGTTAGTACTGAGTCACTGGATCAGAATCCAACGGTTCATATTTCCTACATCTGTCGATTCACGATACACTGTGACCTGCATCTAATGTCATCATTGAGTAACTGTCCTTATGTTCCATCTGGCTCACTCTATTGGTCATGACTTATCACTGAAACTTCGGGAACCACCTGTTGAAGCTAATCACCTATGGACACTAGATTCATTCCATTTGGTGAGCACTAATTAGGAAAAACTAGTTTTTAAGCGAGTTTCACTCGCATCGTTTGTGTTTCAATCAAAGAGATTTACATTTGTCTCTTCATGTTTAATTTCCACAAATTTCATTTCTAATCATTTCAAAGTATGTTTCTGTATCATTCTAGTTTTTGGATGAAAACTTACAGGATTCGAAGCTTCGAAGCTGGACTTAACAGTAGGTTCCAACCTTTGTTTTAGTGGATTAATTTAGTTGGGAAGCAGACAACAAGGCCCTCAAGTCAGCTGACATGTGATTTTAGTCATTGTTATGTGCTCATTTACTACTATGCATAGTTTATTCACTCTGAATATTGTATTCAAGTATCCGTATCCAATGGTATTTCGAGAAGTAGTGAACACCTGAGAGTACTGGATATTTCTTTCTTTCTGGTACGAGACTTCCTAATGGAATGTCCACTCTACTCTATCAGAAATACTCTTTGAGGCTAAGCAGGTCACCCGCTGATGGAATTGGATACTGTTTACACAATATCGTGAATTTACAGAAATAAAGAAATCTGGACCATTAGATTTCGAATCAAGGTTAGAATGCTAACGGATTAGCTGCATGATGTTAAGATCCTGGTTAAGGTTTTACACCACCTTACAGGTTCCTACTAGGATGGGACAGCTGTCCAGTGCTGTTACGTTTTCAAGGGTTATCTCACTTATCTCACTCTGTGATGAATATCATTAGGAAAACATTTCAGTCTGTTGATGAAAGTCAAAGTCTGCTACTTCAGAAGTTTGATATTCTACTGGATATCTACACCTTTTCAGTGAGTTCGAAACCATAGATAATTTCTCACATTCTTTACTGTATTTATACAATATGTTATGCTCAGAGTTTTGGATAGAGGGAGAAATTCATTTGATGAAATTGTGAACCTCCATCTACTCAGATGACTGATACATACATGTGTTGCGTATGCCTAGTCACCGTCTATCCAATAGCACACTGCTATCTGATGAAGGTTTAGGTCAGAAAGAGATTAACGTTTGCCAAGCTGAACCATGCATCGGTCTGTGTAGACTTTGATAACATTCATCAGATAGTATTGATTTTGTATCTTCTATTATCACTGTCTATGTATGTTGGTTACCAAAAACGATCACATCATGGAACGAGTTAAGTACATTAGACGACTTTGCCAACTGACAAGTGATCATCCTGTTGAGAACCTTTCAAATGTCCTGGCCTCAGTCAGTCTCTGATGAGCAAAACTATTGCAACTGATCACATTGCCTTAATTTAGTCAGCACAGCAGACTGCATACTATCAGCCCTGAGTGTCAATCATGGCACTGAATCTTAGCCAATGCTCTAAAGTAATAAGATGAAAAGCTCTGAATCCACAAACCGTGATACATAGGTAATCTCGCCTCATAAGAAACACAATCTCTTTATCATTATATAGATGATAAGAGTCAATAGTCATATCACCAACTTGTGTGTTGTGAGAATGCTTACTTGTATTGTTGCACATATCACACAAAATATCCTAGTTTTCCATCATACTTATCGACAATATCATGTGTAGTAAAGAGAAGAAGACAATCAAAGCATAATCTTTTCCATACACGCCCACATATTTCAAAGTATACACGAAAGGACTGAACCGTGGAATTCAAACTTACTGGCTACCATCAGAACCTGACAAGCCTAACTACCTATGAAATGGTAATTAACCAACAGAGCAATAAGAAGATGCCTCTTACCATCATGTTTTATGGCATGTAACAAGCCTTGACAAGTGTATCCATCCATAGTCTGTCAGTCACACAAGGTAAACAAAGCTTAATAACTTATTGGTTTAAGCAGACTATTATTTCATGTGTAAGATATCCGACTGTTTACTGAAACAGTTTCATCGTGAATTCGAATTAGTGCATTCCAATGTATCAGTATACATAAACTATATTGCCCTCAAAGTGAAGATCTTTGCCAAGAAAATGAAAGTGAAGGTTCAACGCATTCATTTGAAAGTTGTAACGAAATATTTTGCATTCACATTATGGCCAAAAACAATAACTAAATAGTCATTGAATGTTGAATATTGAGTAGGAAATTCTTCATGTCAACTCCTCCGAAAGTATAAAGTTTTCTGAAATATACTATGGATTAACCTTATCCACTTACTCAAGTGCATCAGTAGGGTCAACTCGACCGGAATCCAGAGATAATAGGAAAATGAGCTATTACCGTTGACAGGGTTATCAGCCATCATGTCGACGACTCCACTGATTTGAAGACAATAATCGAGTGTGAACTTCGAACAAGCAGGTGAAGAGAATTTCAACCATCTGTTACAGGAGACATTGGTGATCATCGGGAGAAAATTGATGGTCAGAGATGTATGGCTGATAGATTATAGTTATGGTTGTGTGAGCATTCAGCAGAACATTCTAAAATCCCAGGTTGATAGAATAATCGTCAAAGACGACACATCGATGTATCATAGGTGACTTGGGTCTCTTGAAAACAAAGTATTAGACAGTCAGATTCTCTTCCATAATTTAGAAGTTTATCAAACTTCAAAAACATTGAGCACTTCAGCACAAGTAGTCTCTTTCACCATCTTCTGTTGTAGAGAGAAACCAAAACTTTCATCCCACATTTTTGATCATTCAGTCAGTGTTTGACTAATGTATACAAATAAACTGAAAGTGTTATTGTCTTGCAAACATCTATGCTTAACTCATATGTTTCATGTGGCAATTCACTCTCATCTACTTGAAAGAGTAGAGGCAGATAATGTTGTGTTTACAGATCTTGGAATAGATTAAACCAGCAGTCAGTGCAGCGTGTATATTGGTAGGTTTAGTTTGCAGTTGAAACACTCCTATCTGTCAGTGGTTCATAATAGAAAGGATCTCAACAACCTTTGAGCTATTTCGAGTCGTCCAGTGTTCACAAGTGTCGTCACAGATGCGAGTACACCTTTCTCTTGCTATGAATGAAAGTGTCATACAAAAAGACATGCAGTGACTGATGAAGTTTAGTGTTTCAAGGTAAAATGTTGCAGGCATAAACTTACCGACAACACAAAACATACTGACTCAAAAGAATATCTTATTGAAGTAGTAGTTCGCAGATCTCATTTGAATAATCACATCCTGCGATTTCCCCTCAATATTTATCCAGTAGATTTGCATTTATATCTATGCATATACTAACTGTCGAGATGTGATCACCAGCTTTCGCAGTTGCTGGAATTCTTTAGTAGGATGCAATTACAACTCCACAGAAAATCATGTCTCTTCAGCAATTTGAACCCACACCAACTAGTCCAACATCCATGAACGTTAACACTGACTTATTCAGACATCGATGGTCCTTCCACAACAGTGGAATTGATACACTGATTGGTCACAAAATAGTCGAAGGAATTTTATCAGCACTAAACCGACAGTTTGACGAATCGAATTTGAGATTCCAGTGGAGTAACATTAAAAACACCTGACAGTTTAAAAATTAAGATACCAATATCATCAATAACTGAAACACTCAACTGTCTACAACAGTATACAACTTCTAGTCAACGTGTATAGCTCAATACTCATCCATTTCCTCTTCTACAGTAATCTATACTCAGATAAATAAACACTGTGAAACTTTCCAGAAACACCTACTACTGAAATGGGAACTAAGTATGCTAGTGTATGACAGATGAATGACTCGTTTCTATTTGTCAGAACACATCAAAATATCCCTGCCTTGGATAGAAACTTCAAATCTCTTCAGTTTGTAGGCATCGCACACCATCAAACAACACAACCATATTCAACCATTCATTTATATCAGTGGATGATTTGAATGGTAAGAAGAAGGGGTTACGTAAGACTTTGAAGTCGTTTATAAAGTGCATATAGATTAAAAGGGTTGAGAAGATGAATAAACAATCAAAGGATTAGGTGATCTAAACGAGACGAATTAATTGGAGTAAATTGTAAAAGGTTTTGTTAGGAATTGCGATAATTAGGAAGATCAAATGAAATAATAATGGAGAAAAATGAATACAAAAGGAAAAACGGAAGAAGCCGACCAAGACTAAAATCAATTCGGGGCCAAGGTAGAGAGAGAGAGACAAAGACTGTACGTACTTCTTCTGCACACAAAGGTCAGACTTCATTCAGTAAACGTGTTGTGTTGTTGGGCGAATTCGATAGACAACCTTGAAATGCTTGTTTGCATCAACTGAATGGTTGGAATCGATTAAATGTTCAAGGATAGAACTTGTGATACATTTGCTTTGACCCTTATAAAACTAGGCCAGAATGTGATCTGGTATACGTGTTGACAGCAGTGTGTGACTACGACCGATGTACATTGCTCCACACGAGCAGGTAATCACTGTGAACACACACCTATCGGCAAGACAAACTAGTCTGCCAAGGTGACCACTGGGTATGGTTTATTTCGTGGAATCGAATAGGCGGAAAATGAGGAGGAGGAGGGGATAGCAGGGAGGGAAAAGTGAGTACTATAATGTTTGAAAAGGGAAAAAACTTACTACTTTGATCATGGTGTATCTAATGAGTGTACGTAATGTTTTTGAATGTTAGGATCAGTCAGGCGTAAGGTTGTTAATGATCCTGCTGTGTAGATGACACAGTTCCAGGCTATTGGAAATGTGAGAAGGCACTGGCAAACTTGCTTTGAGTAAAATATTAGGAGGGAGGGATCAGATGTTCAGCGGTGACAGGGTGATCAACAATGAAACTGTTTATACACTTTTTTATTTCCCTTTGGATAACCAGAGTAGACAATGTTGTCAAATAAGCTGACGGACAATCAAATGAATAAGCTGAAGACTGGAAGTTTTTCTTCGAATTCACTTCAGTCAATGAATTATGGATAGAAACATGAAGTGTTTCCACGTATGTATGATACCATGTGGATAGAATAGTGATTATACCTCTTTCTTATCCATTGTTCAAATACTTCATTAAAGTATAACGCTGCATTGTTCTCAGATAAAATTTAACAATATCAGGTCAAATAAAGACTTCACAGATGAGGAAATATTTGAAAGCCATTTGACACATAATCTTATTTATCAGCAGTAGTCCATAGCAAAACCACATGTTCATCAACTGAGATTGTCGTTCAATGTACACTATAATAAAATATAGCTGCTTAATATGTATATATATATGGTTAATCTTACTCGAACTACATTATAGATGAACGGACAACACTACATTTTTACTAGTAAGTGATGATTATAGCACATTATCTGATTGAGGCAATGAGCTGTAATGAGTGAACGAAATTGTACCCTGAACTACTCTACTACAGGTTTACTGACAAAGGTGTGTATGCAACGGAAAATAATTAGGGATTAAGGATCCTTTTTCATGACAGGAGAATACCAAAGTTGATTTCTAAAAACACATTTATACAGTCCAAAACTGGTCTAACTAACATTTCACTTTGTGCTCACTCAACATTATAAAGAAACAATCAAACGTGTAATGCATGCCCAACAATAAAGTAGATAACTGACAGGGATCTAATGCTAGCTAAAAGGATGATAATTAGGTCTGACCTATGTGAGTGACCAATATGTGATTTGATTTATAAACCTGAATAAATTTCACAGCTTTTCTCAACAGGTCGTTCGTTACCTTAGTTAGCATCGGTTATAAACCTAACCGATGTAAAACTTCACATCCAGGGAAATGTTCTATATCTACTGTTTAAAGTCTAGCACATCTCTTTGAAACGGTAGACACTAGCCTGATTTTTACTCGTCCAACCAACAAAAAGGTGAAGTGAATGCAGTATTATTCATTTCTTCTTTCCAATGAGTTTGACTATAGTCGACAGTCCTTTTGAATGGAATTAACAAAATTGAATGAAGAAGTAACACGACTTCTGGTTGTCAGTCGTTAGATCACGTTGCCGTACAACCATGCATGCTGTAGTTGAAATTCTAATCTGTGAAGCTTTCAAGATTTAGATGAATATTTTAGGGGAATAAGCGTAATGGATGACTTCACTATGTATTTTGCTATTCAAGCATCCGATAGAAAGAATGTGTATGTGCAATCAACGAATTCTAGGCTTAGACAAAACTAAGTCCTTACCTTTATATACTACTTCATAAGGCGTAGAAGCAGATAATATTTTAGAGGGAACTGATGACAAACCCATATGCTTAGGGTTTTCACATGCTGTCAAGAAGCAAGGTGATTCCATTTGAAGCAAGTTCCCTGGATTTATATGTTTGTTGATTAACGCAGTGTTTCAACTAGGGGCGGCGGCGGCTGCACAAACGAAGACGTCAAATCCGGCCATGGTCGGAAGAGCAAGACAGGCGTTGACTAACCTGGAACCAGTGTGGAGATCTTCTGCACTGCACTCAGCAAGTAGTGTGAACAACATCCGGATTTTCAACAACAACCCAGTCAAGTCAGTGCTTCTGTATGCCTCACAGACTTGATGCGTTACGAAAGGCATTCCCAACAAACTACAGACATTCATCAACCACCACCCACGCTGGCTCCTTACTGAAGATCAGATGGATTGCCAGAATAAAAATGAGAATAAGCAAGAAAGAATTGTGGCTGGCTGGCTGGCTGGCTGGCTGGCTGGCTGGCTGGCTGGCTGGCTGGCTGGCTGGCTGGCTGGCTGGCTGGCTGGCTGGCTGGCTGGCTGGCTGGCTGGCTGCTCTGCTGCTGGCTGGCTGGCTGGCTGGCTGGCTGTTAACGAACCAACGTAGCAAGAACCTATCTTCCAACAAAAATGTACTGTAAGGAAGTGGAGATGGATTGGATTGGGCATGCACTGAGAAGGCCGACTGGGGACATCACACGCTAGGTCCACGAGTTGAACCTAGGTTGAAAAGGACGAGTTGAGCATCCCAGCTGAAGTTGACATGGGAGAGATAGAGTGAAGAAGGAATGAGAGGTTGTGGACAGTCGTGGTGCCAGGCTCAAAAGATTGCAGAGAACAGAGAGCAATGGAAGCGTGCTGCTGAAGCCCTATGTCACACTAGCAACACAAGGAACAAATAATAATAATAATAATGATTGAAAATCTGATAACTATATCATTGTGTTGAATACAAAGAGTGTAATTAGTGAGTATGAAAGTCCTACAACTTTGTATCAGGCAGAGTATGACAAATCCAGTTTTGCAAACATCTAGCCTGGCTAATAAATTATTTCTGTTATAATTGATCTAGCTTTCAGTCTTGTATATACTTCTCCCTATGTGTCTTAAGCTCTTTCACTTTGGGTGAAATATATTAATCTAGTATGAAATTGCACCAATATAACCATCGTATTGAGACAGTCATTGAATTACACTGTATTACACGAC